GTAACTGTGGCTCTAACAGAGACACGCTTCCCTCAGAGAAGTGCAGGCAACACCAGGACCAGCCCATCTGCAGTGGTCAAGGAAATTGCATAGATGGAAAATGTTTCTGCTTCAAAAACAAGCTAGGCAAGGTGTATGGCAAGTACTGTGAAATGGATGATTTTTCCTGCCCGTATCACCAGGGAAACTTGTGTTCTGGTAAGTTGCAGTGTTTATGTCCATATTTTCTTAGTTTGTTTTGTTTTCTGAGGCTACTTTACATGATGCAGCTGAAAACAATGATATAAGGCTGTCAAGAACTAGAATTGTTTGTGCAGAATTAGTGTGGGAAATGTCCTGAACACCCTGTTAGGAATTTCCACTCCAGGGCTCTCTTCACCATTGGCATATGCACTGTCTTCTGAATTTCACCACCATTTTTTAAGGGATACATTGACTTTTTTCCAAAGTTTAGCTATTTTAATATTTAAATCTCAAAATTCTTAATAAGTAATGATACTGATTTCTCAAACAAGAAATAGCATTATTCCAGGAAGCTAGTTGATACATTTTAGCATAATGGGAATATGAGATACTGAAAAGATTAAGAAGGGATCATAGCTTCCAGGTGAAGTTCTGATTTTCTACCACCCTAAATGAGTCCTGTGAGACATACACACTTGATTTCAAATACTGGTATGAACATGAACACTGCAGGGAATGCCTGCTTCAGAAAGGAGACTCTAAGTGAAACAGCGTTGTTAGAAATTCTCATTCTTTTTGTAGTCTGCTTTATGGTAGGGAAGAGAGAAAAAAAGAAATGGAAATGGAAATGGAAATGGAAAATGAAAAGGAAGGAAAGAACCTGGCCTGTCCACATGAACTTTATACTCCTTCCACTGAATCTTGTTGTTTATTTGAATGGAATGTTTTCTTGCTAAAGAGAAGTTTGTTTAGTTTGCCTGAAGACTATTTTCCTGGTCGTTGTGTAATTCCTAATCTCCATTGTTTTGATCCAAAGCAAAAGAACAGAATTTTAGTAAAAGGTTTTAGGGTGACATCATAGCAGCAACTTATGCTCAACTTAACAATGAACAGCAGCCTTCAATATTGATCATGCCAGTAACTTCAGTCCAAGTTATTAACTTAAAAACTAATTAGAAAGTCAAGGTCTAAATTTTCTCTGTTCAAGGTAAAGCACAAGCAATACAAATGTATCCATCTAAAATTTGTTTTCTGTTTTCATGGAAGCCTATGACTCCAGACTCTCTGTGTTATAGGTAATGGTGAATGTGAAGGTGGTAAATGCAAATGCTTTGCTGGCTGGGAAGGTGATCGTTGCGAGTGCTCATCACAATCAGCAAAGCACTGCCTGAATTCAAAGGGCCAGATTTGCAGTGGAAGAGGAAAATGTGTATGTGGGAAGTGTGAATGCACAGACCCAAGAAGCTTTGGACGTTTCTGTGAATATTGTCCTACTTGTAACAAAGCCTGTGAAGAAAACTGGTATGTTTCTTGTGCTAGACTTGACTTTTTCACTCCCTAATATTGAAACATGAAGAAAATTTCTGCTTATGATTTGTACCTATTTAGATTCTAGGAAACTGGTGCAATTCACACTTGATACTTCTCTGTGTAGTTGGATTCACACTGGCAATTAAGAGAATTGCATGTCAGCATCTATTTTAACCATTCTTCATATGAGGTCTCCTGGGTAGGAAATAAAACCATAAATTTGTATTTTTAAAAATGGAAAATAGATCCTACTTTTGAATTTTTCCAAGTCAAATAATGTTCTCCACATTAGTTTTTGCATAATCCTTCTGCTTCTCAGCTGAAAGAAAGTGGTGTGGAGCTAGAGCAGTACTTGTGTATTGTCTTACCCAGAGAACAACATTCCTCTTTGCTCAGTTTCAAAACACTTAGTCTTTGCCATGCTCGTCTTAAAGCATGTCATTTTTCCTTACTCCTGTAAAGGAAGGGACAGTGTGGAGGTTGAAATGAGCAAGCCCAGGAGGGGACAAGCTAGGCCAGACTCTCAGTGGTGTACTGTGTGGTCCTGGCACAGAGAGCAAATGAAGGCCTTTCCTTGGGCATGTCTCTTCTGCGCCCTCTCATCACACATGTAATGTCCTGCATCTCACTGTGGTGCAGAGGGTGAAAGATCAGCCTTTCATTGTGCTGAAAACAGAATCATTGTTTATTTGTATTTATTTTAATTATATCTCATCAGGTGAAAATGCTGGAGAACCAAGCTTGGCCACATCTGGAAATGTTGCTGCTAAGATTTCACTAGATAAAATGCAGTTAACCTTTCTGATTTACACTTGTTCACTGTGAAATGTGTGCCTTTAATAAATTCAGAAGATGGCATATCTTCAGTTAGGGCTTTTTTTGAGATCTCTTGTGACATCTGTCTCCTTCAGAGCTATACAGTGAAGACAGTAAGACTGAGAGCATTGCCTCCCACTTGTCATGCTCTCTGTCTAAACTGCCCAGCAGTGCAGACTTACTTGGCTTTGTCTTAACATAGCACCCAAAAATTATTGACAAAGCTGTGTTTCCTCTACCTACCTCTACTCTTCAATTCCAGCATGCATCTGAATGAGATTGATAGGTAAGGAAGGACTAGAAAGTGGAGGCTGAAAGCTGAAGAAAACTGGACCTCAGTTACACCCTTGCAACACAAAAGGCAGAATTGGATGAAGGTGGCTCGAAGCCAAAGACATGTTTTAGTTTGCAACTTCTGAGTAGCTGGTTCTGAGAAGCATCAGAGGGATAATTGCTGAGAGAGGCATCATATTTCAGAAAAAAATAAATAAATGTCGCAATGTTTTTACTAACAACAGGAAAGCATTATGTGCAAGCAGTACGTCAGCTTGTTGATACAATCTCTTAAAGGGGAGTGCAGAGAAAGACATAGGTTTTTAATTATAATTTTTATTTTACAGGAACTGTGTTCAGTGCTATCATTCTAATAATGCATCTCAAGTAATACTTGACCAGTGCACAACCTCATGCACTTATCTACTGCATTATATTGATAATACTTCAGGTAAGTGCCATTTTCTAGGTAATTTTAATAAGAGATTAAAATCTATTGCAATTAGTAATTGAATTTGCCAATGTTAGAATGTCTTTCAGAAGTATATCACATTATTGCAATTACAAAGAAAGAAAGCAGGAAAAAGAGAAAAATCATTCATAGCTTTAGGGAAAGTAAAAGATAAATAATAACAGGAAATAAGATTGTCAAGCATTGCTAAGTTCAGTTTTCCCAGCTCCTCGAGAAGTCCTGTCTAATAATGATGAATCCTGCCTGAGCAATGCTTAAAGAAATATTTATAAAAATTTGTTATGGCATCTGTATGTTTTATTACTTTGAACATGCATATAGTATTTGACATTACCAGAAACAGGAAAGAAAGAAGTAGAATGCTTACCTCAAGTTCAGTAATGTTTAAAAGTTCCTTTCAAGTATAAAAAACTACAGTTATGAGGGCTATGGAAGAATAAAATCTTTTCCAATAAAATCTTATAAAGTTTAATCACTCCATGCAGCAATAAAAATGCAGGTAAATGGTTACCTTTTGTCACTTAACATTTATATAAATCCTTTTATACTACAGTTCATAAATGAGGAAACTAATTGTGAATACTTTTCTCGTAACTTCAATATTAAGGAAAGCTTACTGTGTTAGTCTACCTGTGAGGAGAGCACTGGGCAAGGATTCAATAAAACACATTTTCTTTCAAATTTTACCAGTGATCTTCACTGTCATCTTGTGAAGATTAAATTCTCTCAACCCCAAACATCTCTTATATTTCATCCTCTCTACTTCAGCTATAAACTCACTGGTCTACACAGAATTTATGGTGGGCAATACAATGAAGCCTGAGTCTAAGTTATGTAGATTAAAGGAATAATTGTTTCACTATTTTTCTACAATGGATCTTGATCTGAATTGCCTTTCTTGATATGCCCACTTTAAAAGCTTGCATATTTTCTTCTTAATTTCCCTTAATTTATTTTCCCTTAATTTTTATCAGGCTTGTATTACATTTGTGCAGCATTACTAAGTTACTAAGCAGTGGTGGATATGCTTGTGTTAGAGGGTGTGTCTGTTCCATAAATTAGCCTTTACCCTTGTGTTTTCCTTTCATTGCAGATTGTTTCTCTGGACGAAACTACTTTAGAGTCTTTTCCATAATCTTTATAGTTACCTTTCTGATTGGGTTGCTTGTTGTCCTTATCATCAGGCAGATAATTCTGCAGGGGAGTAGCAATAAAGTTAAATCTTCATCTGATTACAGAGTATCTACAACTAAGAAGGTAATTGATTTCAGAGCCATCATCTTCAGTAATATTTTTCTTGCATATAAAAGTTAGCTAATTGCTGATAAAAATTGTATCTTCTCCTTCAAGGATAAGATGTTTTTGCCTACAGTTTGTACAAGAACAGTAACATACAGACGTGACAAACCAGAGGAAATAAATATCGACATCTGCAAGTTGCGATTAAATGAAACTTTCAAGTGTGAATTCTGAAGACTGCAAATGTCTATTTCCATCAAGCTCGACTTTTAAGAAATTACCTTTTGTACTCTGTGGGAGTCTTGACTGTTGCCATATGGTTTTGTGTTGTGCATTTTGTTGAATACTGTAACAAAGTGACATGTAAACATATTCACATTATGTGGTTATGTTTGGAACTATAGCTGCTGTATTTTTTTAAATTTTTTTTTGAAAGAGAAATGTGCGTTACTACTGTTCAGAAACATTAGTGTTGATGTAGCACTTTAGCATATTCTAATTTATTTAGTTATGGCCTAGAATGTAGATACAAACCGGTCTGACAAAGCACTGATCTCATTCTACATGTAGCTACCACTGATGTGCTCTGTGGGAATGGACAAAAGCTGTGACTGAAGTATTCACATTGCTGTATATTATAGCAATAGATGAAACTATTAAAATACTCTTAAATAGAGTAAATGGTACTTTTATAGCTCTCTCAGTTGACAGATTCCACTGATTTGTCTGCTTATTCCTCTTATCATTTCCTCATAAAAATAATGGGATTAAATGAGTGTTTAGTTCCTGGTATAGGTGTATGTTGTGTGTGTATACATACACATGCATGCACACACAGGTAAATTATATATTTTTAAGGTTTTTTGTATGAATGATGTCACTTAAGGATAATTTATATCTGATAAAGAGTAATTTTAAGCTTTTTTACTTGTTTAAATATAATGCCCCCATTTTATACAAAATTTATTGTGTTTGGAAACTGAGTGACTACAGAAAATGAGAGTTCCTCTACCCAACAACATAGTCTACATGATGATCACTGCCACCAGACTATGCCTTTAGAGTCAGCAGCATCAAATCCATTGCAAATAGATAAATTACACCAGAGCTGTGTTTGGTTTGCTAGCTACATGTCAGTGTTTTGCCAAATAAGGACTTGGATCTTGTGTATGATGTCAGGCATAAGTCTGATTTTACATATGCTCTTTTTCTCTATGTAAATTAGTTGATGAGATTAGGTTTTCTAAGGTTTTTGTAACTACTTCAGTTTTTTGTGACTGTGCATTGAGAAATGTGTCCAGTGTGTGGTGGAGAAAAGAACCTGCAATTTAGAAGTGAGGAAAATAAGTCTTTTTCTCAAAAGAACACATGAACTGACTTTATAAATATGGATCAGATTCTGCCTTCAAAAGTGTGCAAAACTCTTCCAAACACAATGGGACCAATATAAGCTTATCTGAGAGCAGAATGTGAGCTACAAAGTCAAGCAGAAGCATCTTTTTTTAATCCCTGAAACCAGCTAGAGTGGTAGAACACGTGTTTTTGTTATATAGTTGTTGGAAGCGTCAGTCTGATTTAGTAACTCTATGCTGCTGAAACCCTATGAAAATCTGGTCAACCTCTAATGCACTAAAACCTTGCTGGCAAAAAGAAAAAAATCATCTCAGAAGACAGTGTATAATTTCACCAGCATTTATTACTAATACTAAATACTGTCACTACTTGTCATAGATAAGAGTTAAAGAAACAAAGCAGAACTTCCTTATGCGCAGTCTTTAGAAATTACTTGTATTTCCTATTCTGTATTTTTTCTTTAAATTCTCATTGAAACCTGAGGACTGTGAGGACTGAAAGGAAGGCAGGGTGTAGAAAAATGATGAGTGTTTTATGTGTGTTAAGTTTCTTGGGTAATGGATCAAGTGGGATTGAGAAAAATAATACACAGACAATGGGCCTTTCATTAATCATAAAAGCTTAGGGATTGTTTTTTTAAAAAAGTGTAAATTGGAATATTAAATGTTTTTAAAGCAGTCTCCAAAGTAAGTCCTGAGCTTTCTACCACACAGGTAAAATTATCTCATTTAACAAAAAGAGTGTTTCTTTACACTGACTCTGACTTTAGTGTTAGCTTAATTGTAAAACCTTAGTTATAGATTAATTCCGTAGTCTACCAACTACACCTTAACTCTCATTTTCTTTTAAAGTATATAGGATCATTTTCCTCCTGTGTAAATTAAAAGATTTCAAACAACTGTTTTGATGTGATAAAGGTAAAAGATTGATAAAGGTAAAAGATTGATAAAGGTTGACCTGCTGTTACCCTTGTCACAATTCATGGCTATTTGTGAGTGGGAAACAATCTCTGGTTGTCTATTTAACTTAAATTTTAAAAATGCTTAATGGAGTATATCTAAGTATATAAAAAGGTTAATTATGTTCTTTAAACAGTGTGATAAACCCTTTACAAAAAAAGATTCCTCAGAATCTACTTTCACCCATAATAGCCTTTAAAGCATGTACTAAAGCATTTACTGAAATGATAAATATTTTTTGTTTCATTACAAATTACTTTTCACTGTTAGAGGGAGTTCAGTTTTGTGAGTAATGGATGATGAAACTGGGTTCTTGGTGGAAGAAAGACTTGAGCTGTAATACCCATCTTCCAGACACATCACATCACGCTGCTACTGCTTTTCTTCTGTAGCATTTGGCATTGGACTGCTGCATGTGAAGGGGCACGGCCAGTATTCCCTTATCAGACACCTGCCTGAATGTTTAAAATGCTCTAAAATCAAAAAGAGCAGGCTCACAGGACAAATTGCACTGTAAGCTGCTTGCTGTCCTGAAATTTAAAAAAAATGTATATAAATTAACCAAAAAAAAAAAAAAAAAAAAGAAAAGAAAAAAAAAAAGAAAAAAGCTTTCTTGCATCTCCCTCATGGTTTTGCTGTATTGTGGAAGAGGCTGGTGAAAGAGAATAAGCTGCTGCTAATGTGACAGGTCAAGGCTTTTAGAAGGCCCGTGGGGAGCTTATACAGAGCAGGATTCTTGGGAGGAGGCTTTGTTTCTAGGGATGGAATCTATCCATGAGAAACTCTGGCTTTGCTTGGTACTTGTTTCCCTCTGCCTTTGACCATGTTTTTCAGAAGAGCTGCTGCAGGAGATGAATAGCTCAACAAAAGCCTCACTATTTAGGGAGCTGTGCTCCCTCAGCACATGACCTTAAATGAGAAAGCAGCCTTTAATTCACAAGGAATTTCTTCACTGATTGCAGAAGGACTGTGCTTCCTATAGTGCTTAATATGGGAGATATTAAAGACAAATTAGTTCATATTAGTTTTCAATGTATTGTATGTCAAAAATGCTCATAAAAATAGGGGGAAAAGTAACTAACCTCAGAATAGAGCGTTCCAAAGTTCTCAAATAGCACTTCTTATACTGGGCTTCTTCAAAAAAATTTAGAAAGAAGTCCAATAATTCTACTGCATGCTTATATCCAAAAGTATTCCAGCGGATACTGCTGCATCTCATCATTGGTTTGGAGAATTGTTTTTAGATTTGGTCCCACAAATGAAGCATGTGCATGACTTTTAACAGCATATTTGTTACTGTTAAAATCCATATGTATACTTTTCCAATTCTAGTGCCCTTTTTTAACCTTTGACCCATTATTTGCCTGACACTTCAGAAACTGCATGTTTATGTAATTAAAAAGTATGTGTTTTCCTTCAGATTTTTTTTGAGTACTATAAAATGAAGAAATGCTATGAAATAGTTCTTTCCAAGCATTCATGACTATACTAATAAGATTGCTACAGAAATGTGTGGGAAAATAGCTGTTTCATCCAGAAAACGTGTGCATGGTATGCAAGGAATTTTCATTGTGCCCAGCTGAAATTCTCTTACATTTGCAAGAACGTTAAAAATGAACCATAAAAAGGAAGGATGTTCGTATGGGCATAGTTTACATTTTAGCTATTATTTACAACTGGATTTACTTTTTCCTCTCTGTGATGTCATGAAAACCTGCTATGTAAAGCATTCTTCTGACTGCAATGGAAAAATATTTTTTTCCCAGTCTGATCATATATAATATTTATTTCCTGCTTAGTGTGCATGTTTTGCAAACCATGGGAGTAAATGTGTGAAACAGCTTCAAGCACCCCTCCATCCTAAAATAGACATAGGGTCTGGTGATGCCCAGGGCAGAGACATGCAAGGGCATGGCTGCCTGTGTGGGGCTTCAAGAGGGACAGTGAGTGCTGGGGGTCCCCACAGCATCCATGCAGAAATGATGCTCTGAGATCTCACTTTGCCTTTTGTCAGGGCAGGAAACCTCTTCAAAGTAGTGGTGCAGTGCCCTAGGTTTGCATCTCAGGCACTTGCCCCAGACTGGGGCTGCATTGTGTGCAGTCTCAACCCTAATGCTGCGGGCTTTTCGCATCTTTATTCATCAAAAATGCCTGCACACAACCCAGCAAGGGACAGCCTGTAAACCTGGATGCTGCAGCCCTCCGTTAAAGCTCCTGAAGAGCGTTTGGGCACCTGCCCATTGACTTCCCACCAGCTCCTGGATCTCCACCAGCCAGCCTTAAGGAATGTAACAGTGGCTGTAAAGGGCACTTGTCACAGACGCGTTTGTGCTGAGTCAGTGCTGGGTGACTCCTACTCTGTCCCGACTGCGAGTGACGCCTGGTGACAATGTCCTGGCTACCATTTTGCAACAGAGGGGAAAGCAGAAATGAAGCAATACTTAAGAAAAACACTAATTTTTAATTCTGATCTTGAGACTGCTCTGATGCACAGGTATCTGTTGGCTCTTACAGAGAATTGAAATTCATGGATGGGGGGGGAAATGTTAAAGTTAACCAGCAGAAATGCATATTTATAGCATGCCAAATCAGTGAGGTTTCACTGAGAGCAATTCAGCTCAGAATGGTTGGCCTGTTAGGGGGCAGGGGGGAAGAAAAAACCTTACATTTCTAGATTCATAAGCTTTCTGCTGTTATGAATTTCATGTTCTCTTTGTTTCCTTTTCTGAACATGCTTTAAAAAAAACGGTACCTATTAAAAAAAATATCTGGCATTTGTTAAAATAATTACTTCTGTCCAAGTTATAACATTTCATCCTGATACCTATATCATATTTGGATTGTTTCAGTTATATTTTGAAGAGAGATGTTGAAAAATGAGTCTTTTGCAGAGTCATTAATGTTGGATGAATTCACTGTGTTGACATCTTCACTCTTACCTACTACTGCTTAAAAAATAATGCTACTTTAAAGTGTCTTACTTAGCAATTGTGTGACAGCTATTAATAATACTACCGTTTTAAACTTTTTATTTAATGTATACTACCTTTTGTAAAAAATAAATATAGAGAGATAAATAATGTGTGTCTAGATTTTATGCATAGAGAATGTTAGTAAGGGAAGAGGTTTTTAAATTTGATAACTTCTTACTGCTCATTTTACATTTTGAATGATACTTTAAAATCACTACTTTTGTTCATCTGGAAATATACTGAATATTTTATTATTTAAAATAGTATACTTTTATAGCTGTTTTATTAATTTCATTTGACTACTAACTTCTATTGTGATATTTATTAATGAGTTACACTGTAGCATATTGAGATGTTTATTTTTCTATCAGATCTGTAACAACTAAGACATAGCATTATTTTAATGCAACATCATTGTATTTGCTCTCTAAAAAATAAAATCAATATTTAATCCATATGGATTTTTCATATTTTTAATATTAAATATATCTGTGGCAAGAAAGAGATATTCACCTCCTTTTAAAAGTATAAAGCACATTTACTGAGGTGTACCAATACCTGCAAGGGGAAGAATATGATTGTGGTTGTTTTAAAATTTAATAATACTGTGCCCAAGGAGATAAAATACAAAGAATAAGTTGTTTATCAGATGCAGGCAAATGGGTAGGTGCACATTTGGGATGAACTTTGAGAAGATGGGAAGGAACAAAACACTATTTATCAGTTTGGAGGTGCAGCTGGTTTACCTTGCCCAACCCATCTGAAACCTGAATGCACCAGGAGGTGCTAGTACTTTGTAGAAGACAAGAAGCTACTTCCTGTGTAAATACAATCTCTGGATTGATAAGTGGTTGTGATAGTCCCTCTTCTCCCTTGCTCTGTTGGGTGGTAGAGGAGCTGGATTTCTCAGAACGGGTAAATCTCTGCATATGCCTCATCTGTGCCACTCACTGCACACTTGGGTCACTTCACAAGTACTGGTGAAAACATGTCACTGATGGGGAAGGTGACACATTCTGTCCTTGTGCAGAATCAGTTTGCTTTGCACAGCGGCACGAAGTTGCTCTTGAAAAGGACTTTAGATATGCCCTGTAAAAGGACATTTAAAACTTGCCATGATGCCTCAGTAAGAGACGAATGTGGCACTAAGACACCTGCCAGACATCACTGGTAAAACTACCCATCCGTGCTGCTAACATGATCCAGGTTTTGCTTTAGGAGTGAGAGAGCTAGACTCAAGTGACAACTGATATGTTCTCAATCATCATGTAGGTTAGTGTCCAATAAAAGATAAACACTAAGAAAAAGTCAAAACTGGAAAGAAAAAATAAGTAATTATCACAGGGAAAATCTGTAAATCTTTTTTGCTTCTTTTATCAAAGCAAGGAACATCATCTTAATATATGCATGGTGAGACTATGTCTGAGAAATTTCCTTTCACAGATGCTGTAATCAACCTTCACTGGCACCCAGAGCAAGCAGAAGCAGGAAGTCCTATAAACAGAAATACACATTTTCCTTGAAAGCTCTTTATTGAGAAAACATTCATATTATCATTACTCAGAGTATGCATAAACCTGGATCTGAATTTCAGATGTAGAACTCAAGTGTATAACTTGCGCAGAGCTATAGGCCTCCATTTTGCCATTCAGGAGTAGCTTGAAGCTGAGGTTTTGTTAACACTTAAGTCTCCCATAGCCAGTGATCCTGGAACCAAGAGGTGTTGCATATCCTGTATGTTATGAAATGATGGTAAGTGCTCTGTATAAAATCTTTCTTCCTCTCTTCTTTTCTATGTTCCGTAATCCAGTAACTAATTCATGCCTGCATACCTTTAAATATCCAGGTCATGACAGGGTTTTTGACACTGGCATTGTATTTAGCCAGTTTTTACCCACACATACACAGTTGTCAGCAAAAGTACGACAGGACCTAAATGTGTCTCTAACCCAATACAACTGCTATTTTCTTGCAGATGCCATTGCCAAGGAAAAGGCTTGCTGCCCAGACTCTCCAAAGAGAAAATAAACCTAAATTACAGCCTCTAAAGCTGGAGGAGGAAAGAGATCCTGATTTCAGCCACTTTTTTGACACCAGTCATGTAGGTGTATTCTATTACAGAATTTCTCTGCCTGCATGATTCCTTTCATGGTAGTTGCAGAATTTGATCAAATATTCAGAGAGAATGGCATTAGGGAGAGTTGGTTCAAGTGAGTATCTGAATATGCCTGATGATAACCAGAAGACGATGATTAGAATTAAGAATAAAACTTTGTTAACAGACTGATTTTGACTAGTAAGGAGTTAATCTGATAAGTGGGTGGTTTCTTTTGCTTTCAGGTTCTGCAACAGAGACAAGAACCTTGGAAATGCATTCCTGCTACCCTGGGTTTCAAACCAAGCACTTTAATGTATTGTATAAAGTAAATAAAAATCTAGTTTTGCCAAAACTCAAGTGGTCTGAAGCTGTGATTAGAACACAGGTGCTGTCAGTTCTTCTGCTGCTCATCTTCTGCTTGGGAGTGTTCCAAGTTGGGTTGGACTGTACAGAACTCATAGAAAGTAGGCTGCCAGTCTGATTTATTAGTACTCAAGAGGCCCCAACATTATCATCTCATTTCTCATTCCAGGGAAACTGTGGTGGGTGGCAGAAAGCAGAATTTCCTTATTTTTTGCAAACCATTCTATCTCCTCAGCACAGACCATAGCATGGTTTCTGATTATTTTCTTGGCCTCGAACTTCATGATTCATGAAGGACAGTTACTGTTTAATAAAGATGATGTGTATGCAAGCAGATAAAACTACATTATTAACCACAAAAGCATAAAAATGCCAAGTTATGTCACATATGCTTAGTGAAATCAGTACTTGTGATGTATTTCTTTCAGCTCTGCAGCTTGCCAAGTCCCCCTTTTGGGGCTCTAAGCCTCATCCTAAGCCTCTTGTTTATGCCTGAGCAATCTGGAGAGCCCAGGACCTGTTTCTGAGTGGCGTTCCTTTGCTCTCAAAACTGCTCACAGGAGAAGCCTATCTCACAAACCCCCTTCTGGTTTTTTGGGCTTTGACCATAGCCTTACCACAGGAATTCTGAAAGCATCACTGGGGCTGTAAGATGTGTGGCCTGCTGAGGAGACTGGGGACATGACAGTGGATGGGTTTTTCATAAAATTTTTGGACACACTTTTGCTTTACTCTGCTCTAGACAAAGCAGGAATTTCAAAGACTTGCACAGCTTAATCATGGTGTTCTCTAGATTGTCCTTGTCTTCAGGAGTGTTTATGGCTGGCTTCTTTCCTTGAATCATTTTGCAGCTGCACCCAGGTTCCTGTGGGGGGAAAAAAACACCACAGCTAAAATAAATACTCCTGTCTTTCTCAGCTTCTTTTCTCCTCTTCTTGTGTATCTCTCTGTATCTACATTGAGCTCTACCTATGTCTTCTTTGAAAATTGCAGACACAGGATCAGAGGGCTTCACCAGGAAACATCTGATGAAGAAAGTTTTTTTTACTTTTGAGCAGAAATGAGCAAGTTAAAGTCTGTGGTGCAAACCTAAACAGATCATCTCTCAACTTGGTCAGGTGCAGTACCATTCCCCTGCTCTTTTCCAGAGTTAAGAAGCTGGGGCCATTTCCTGGTGTACTAGCCAGCCCACAGATACCCACAGGAATTCTCCTGCTGTAAGCTTTAAATGACAGCTTCTGCAAGGTGTCTGCAACATACAAAGCCCAGAGACATATTTCTCCTCTAATATCCCCACTCTGATAGCAAATTTTTTTCATTTGTAAGTACTTCTTTCTGTATAATTTTGTGTGTTTGATTGTATGTTTGTGTGTGTGTGTCTGTCTGCATATTCCATCCAAATTAACTCTTCCTCAGCATCAAGAAGTCCATCTCTGATTTCTAAGCAGCCTGTCAGTCTATATGTAGGCATAGTCTCACATACCCTTTTTTTTGTATATGCTTAAAATGGGATTCCTCCCCTAATTTCATATGCATAGCAGGATCTTCCTTTTAAAATTCCTGTTTCTGTTAAATTCCTGTTTCTGGCTAGCTGCTATCATGTTGAAACTGTGACTTGAAGTATTCCCAGGTGTCTTTATTTATTCTTTGTGCTTTTATCCTTTTTGGCTGCTGCCTAGCACATTAAACCTAAAACACAGAAGGCAGACACAGCACCTTACCCAGGGATTTTTGGTTCACAAATAGGTCCTAATCATGATGTCAAAAATAATAAATTAATGTTTTCTTAGCCAGTTTTTATCTCACGCCTTTGAAAGCAGAAATTTTTTCCTCGTGCCTTTGAGTTTTTTTAAACAGAGAGAATTATTTGGCCCAAAGAAAGAAAAGATAATGTGTCAGATCATTTTGCAAATCCAAAAAGTGTCATTCTCTGAAGGAAGATTTATTATTGTGTGACAGACTGAAAGTGTTTCATGCTGTCTCAAATGAAAACCAAGTAGATTAATTTCCAGACCCAAAACCAAACAAACTCTGGTTTCAACAGTTTTGTCCAAGGCTGACTTTCTGTGAAATTGCTGGGCCCTTGTGGTTCAGTTGAAGACTCTGTTAGAAGTGAACATGCTGAGCAGCTTTAAATATCAAATCCATAAGATCGCCTTTGATATCAGATATATAGCAGTTTAGGAATGTTAATGTAATATGTTATATTCCTTCTTTTAAAATACCACAACCTTTTACAGAACTTGTTTGGTAATCCAAAAAAAAAGAAGCTTTATTTATTGTCTTAGCTGATGTTCTGTCTTGGATCACAAAAAATTTCTGCTAGCAAATATTGTGGAGTATTCTTACATTTTCTATTTGTCCCCATTTTATCCATTAAAAAAAAAAAAAAAAAAAAAGTAATTTGGATTTAAACTATCTGAAAATAATGCAATGCATAATTTACTGTAATTTCCTGTACTAACCAAGAACTCTGATTGTCTAATTAGCTGGCTTTTTGTCAAGTGTGTTATTGTACTCAGTTACTTTTTTTTTCCCTTCCTTTCACTTGTTTTTTTTTTAATTTTCTTTATATGGGGAAGGAAAATTTAACAAATGCCTATCAGCATCACTTGAAATATCTCAAAGGAAAGTGTATTACCCAATCTAATTGCTTTTGTTTTAATGATTTGATACATTTGGTGCCCTTATTCCTGTGGAATTCAAGTGTTTTTACCATGCCAAATTTTACTCCCTTACTTGGTCAGTTTTTGGTTCCTGCTTCTTCCTTAGGTCAATGCAAGTGTTTGCAGGCAAATCTGCAATTGTCCTTTGAACAAATGAAATAAGGGAATTGTTATTCTTCAGCAAGTTTTGACAAAGAGGACAGTATTGTAATTTTCATATGATTACAACACCTGGGCTATTGAAGTTTTATTGAATATAAAATGTATAATCAATTTATACACAGCTGCCCTGAAGTCAGCAGTATAACATACCTGAAATTTCACTAATTCTAAGTGTTATGATGTGAGGGACTTTCTTGAAGAACTTTGTTTTATTCAAGTACTTTTGAGATTCCCCCTTGGAATGATATTTTTAGATAATTTATTTCCCCCTGGTGTCTCCCTAGAGCTCATTATAATAGGATAAATTTACATTATTCACAAGGAAGAAGAATGATGCTGTGCCCTCCTTACCTTAGCGATACAGAAGTGACAAGTGCTCTCACAGCACCAGAACCATGTTCCAACAAGAGTCCTTACTTTTTATATCAGTACCCCATGGAATAACCAGGGTTTTTTCAAACCTGGAGTCCATCTAGCATGGTGTATCTGTCTTCAGCAGTGGAGCCAAGCTGCCATGGGAAGCATAAGCATGCTCCAACTGTGTATTAATTCCATGAGGTCCCCTAGCCCCAAGTCATTTTTCAGCATTTCCTGCATCTAATTCCTTTGGTAAATCAGTAACCCTCACTTTCAGGTGTGTGCCATTGAGCTTACTTAAAAAGAAAAAAGAGTCAGCCACCAAGTCTGGAACTGCTGCGTGAAGAAGAGCTTCCTCTGGTTTTGATTGCACTTGGAGTGCAGGAGCTATGGGCAACCAAGCAGAGGGGACATTGACCCCCAGTCACTCTTCTCTGGAAAACTTGTCATGTGTCCCCAGGTCACCTTTCCCAGACTGTGATGTCCCAGCATACAGAGTCATTTATACCAAAGCCTGTCCTTATCTTTGATCATCTTTGCAGCAGTTTTCAGATCCTCTCCTATCACTGACATTCTCCTTTCCTTCATTAAGGATGAAGTAGAGCTGTTTTCAAAATTCACAATGTACACAACCCACCAGTTTACTAGAAACATACTGATGTTTCTTCTTTTTCGTTTTATAATGCTTCCTAACATTTTATGACTTCATTTGATACAGATTTTTCATGTCTTTGTCCTTTACAGAGGTCTTATACTGAATTATAGCATACTTTCCTGTTTAGCTTTGAAACCATTGAATGAAGGAAAGATGATTCCTCACATCTCTCTTGCATACAAGTGCTAGAAGTTCAGTTCCCTTTTGGCTCAAGAAGGATCTCTGTCTCTCTCTCTTTTTCTCTCTCCTTCATAATTCTGTTTTTTCTGTGCATAGCATCATTCCTGGTGAAGCAGAAATTTCTGCCAGATACCCCCTCCAGTATTAGAGCTCTGCCTTTCTACTTCTGTCTTCAGGCTGTAGCAAAGGCTTCACAGAAAGTTCTCACTAAAGTCCTGGTCTCCAGCTTTTTTTCCAGCATGAAAATCTTTTTCTCCAGAACTTCCTACCTTCTCTCTTCTATATGTGATTGATGGTTACCAAATTCTACCCACGTCAACCCACTACCTTTGAGGTTAACCAGCTTTGCACTTTGTAAGAAAATTGTATGTTTGCCTATATGTCTGAACCTTGTGCTGTCTCAGAGCATTTTGGTCCTCTTCTCTTCCTGCCGGACATCCTAATGCCAGAAGGGCATTTGCATTAAGAGAGAGCACATACAATCCAGTTAAGAGAAACCTATTACTGGAGTCATGTTTCCTTTCACTTGTCAATAGGACATTCCTAGTTATCTCATCTGCCAGCCTAGGTCTCAGCAGAAGTAAACAAAATTTTTCGTCTTTTTTAAAGACAAAATATTCAGCAACTGCAATGTGTCCTGAATGAATGTCTCCATTAGCCCGCTTCCCTCTGGGCCAGCTATCTGACTCTGACATCCATACACACATATGCTGGATTTTCCACAGAGGGAATGACTCTCCCTCTCTCCCTGGAGGAAAGGTGTTTCTAGTGCTCTTCCTTCTTTTTGCCTTTTTGGACAGCTACAACTCTGTTCCTGAAGAAGTCTCTGTTGCCAACTGCTCCTTTTTCATTAACCTCCCATAGTGCCCTGGCAGCCAGGAGGGCCACGCATGTCCTGGGATGCATCAGGCACAGCATCACCAGCTTGGCAAGAGAGGGGATTTTCCTGCTCTGCTCTGAGCTGGGGACGCCTCACCTCGAGTG